TGTTAAAAAAAAAAAAAAAAAAAAAAAGAATACCTGCTATGGTTTGAATGTGGCCCCCAAAAAGCATATGTTGGAAAATTAATCCCCAGTGCAACAGTGTTGGGAGGTGGGGCCTGAGGGGAGATGGTTAGGTCATGAGGGATTCACCCTCATGAATGGATTAATACATGATTATAATAGAGCTTGAGGCTGCGAGTTCAATCTCTTGCTCTCTCGCCATTTGATGCCTTCTACTCCATTGTGACGAAGAAAGAAGGCCCTCACCAGAAGGCGGACCCTTGATCTCGGACTTTCTAGCCTCCAGAACAAGAAATAAATCTCTGTTCTTTATAAATTACCCAAGTCTCAGGTATTCTGTGATAGCAGCATGAAACAGACTAAGCCAATACACTACATTAATATTAAAAAGTAAAAAAGTACAGTGTGAAGGCAAGTAAATATGCAAACACATGAAGATCATTTGAAAGCCAAAATCAGATTATAAACATAGTCATGTGTTGCTTAACGATGGGGATACGTTCTGAGAAATGCGTTGTTAGGAGACTTCATCCTTGGGGGAACATCACAGAGTGTACTTAACACAAACCTAGATGGTACAGCCTACTGCACACCTAGGCTCCACATAGACCATTGCTCCAATAACCGTCCTACATGCAGTCTCTCACTGACCAAAAACGTGTTACACAGCGCGTGACTATATTATTTGGCTTTAGAAAACTAGCCCTTGTTTTCTTTCTAGAGAGAGAAGACAATAAAAATGGTACTTCTGGAGTTTCTATATATAAAAGAACGAGATGCTCCATGGGAATGAAAGTACACTGGGCAAGAGAAGACGTGACAAATGCATTATTAGAGAGGTGGATTAAAAGAATGAGCACCACACTGGAAATGTTGCTAAGATGGTCTCCAAAAGAGGAATGTGGCATTCCTAAAGTTCCTGCCACATGGCTCCACTCCCTGGGAGGCACTGGGATGGTACATTTGACAGCTTATAGTTGCGGGAACGAGATGGGTGCATTCCTCAACGTCACTACCCCCAAGGCTCTCTGCCATCTGTCCTCCAAATGAGCTGCTTCATTTGGCTCAGCATCAAGATGTTCAACCTAAAACTATTTTCAGAATAATTTTCAAATGTGAGAATTAAACCTAGGCTATTGGTTAGACACAGAGCTAAAAGTTTAACTACGGAGACTGTGACACTAATGAGGAAGAAAAGAAAGAAAAATTAACCCGAGCACCTAAAAGGTAAAAACAGAGGGAAGACATTAACTCCCAGGGACTTTGTCCAGAATAGTGTGTTAAACATGTCTTTATTCTGCATTTGTGATGCTTGGACATCTTAAGGTCTTGATGACACTGAAGGGACTGCCTCTCCCAGGGTCACCCAACCCCTAGAAAGAGTAAGTGACCCACTTGGCAGCACACCTTTCACATGGGTCCAGAGCATGTCTTTATTCTGCATTTGTGATGCTTGGACATCTTAAGGTCTTGATGATACTGAAGGGACTGCCTCTCCCAGGGCCACCCAACCCCTAGAAAGAGTAAGTGACCCACTTGGCAGCACACCTTTCACATGGGTCCAGAGCCCAAAACCCCAGCCATCTCCTTCATGGGGCTCTTCCTCTCTGTGCCACTATTCCTTTGTCCTCATTACCCCAGGACCAGGACCAGGCACCAGACGATGGCCTCTAGGCCTGCAGCTCACTGAAATTATTCAAACAAGCCAATCCTAAGCCTGTTACTCTGTCTTGCCCATTTCTTCCTGTGGAAACCACAGTACAGGCTCTTGCCCATGCTTTCTGCTCCTTCCCTCTGCCCCTTGACTGCCCTCCACGCCCTTGGCATGACATGCACCCTCCTCTTGAAATCTGTCTTTTCAATGGCAACTGTCTCCTTATCTGTTGGCCTCGCCATACCTGAATAATAAAACCTGTATTTTATAGTACACCTCTGAACACAACTGTCAACCCTGACATGACGTAACATGTCCTCGTTGTCTATTTAGCCCTCTGTGAGAGGTGAAGTACTTCTGTTTAGCTGACATGAGGATTTAAAAGTTAATTTGGACAACATGTATACATTTTCATAAATGACTGAGATAAAATTAACATACCATAAAATTTACCCTTTAGAAATGTACTATTCATGGTTTTTAGTATAGTTGCAAATTGTGCAACCATCACCACTTAATTCCAGAATATTTCATGACTCTAAAAGGAAACCTTGTACCCATTTCTCCCTCCCCACCAGCCCTAGCCAACCACTAATTACATCCTGTCTCTGTAAATTTGCCTATTCTGGACATTTCAAATAAATGGAATCATACAGTATATGTGGGCTTTTGTGACTGGTTTCTTTCACTTGATACTATGTTTTCAAGGTTCAACCACGTAGCATGTATCAGTATTTTATTCCTTTTTATTGATATAAAATCCCATTGCACAGATACATCAAATTTTGTTTACCCATTCATCAATTGATGGACATTTAGGTTATTTCTTCTTTTTGGTTATTATGAATAATGCTACTACGGACATTGCTGTATGTATTTTTGTGTGGACATATGTTTTCAACTTTTCTGAATAATACAAACTTGTAGTAGAAATTCTGGGTCATGTGGTAACCAAATGTTCTTTTTAAATAGTGAAATACTGAATTCCCCTCTGCATGACAATTAATTTCTATAAGGTTTCCTTTCAAGGGAAGCTGGAAACAGATGACAGAATCCTCCAAGCTCCCAATGACAACTCATGTTGTGGCTGGTGAGATGACTGCCTTGCAGCAGAAAAGTCAGAATAATATCCTGACAATGTATCATGTGCCAGTCACTAGGCAGCCTCTTCGCCAGTGTGTCTGTTTCTTTGCCTTTAAAAACAATCATAACAAGAGCTAAATATGAGCTATTATTCAGGGTTAGCTTACTCTTTGTCAATGCTAGTTATTATTATGATTCTTAATATCATCTTATTAGATATTAAAATTCATTAGGGTAACAAAGGATAAACATCATGTGGACAGAAACTAAAAAAATAGCATCCTGGATGCCCCAGGAAGAGCTCTGACATTTGAGATAAGTGCCAAACCAATTGTCATTTCCAGGAAGTGAAGGAAGGAACAAGGACAGACTGCAGTAAAAAGGAACTATGCAGCAAACGGAGGGATTTTTCCCATAGATATTTTAAATGCAAGTCTTACAACCTTACCTACATATTTTTTTTAAAGATTAAAAATAGTGATTACAGAGGATTAGTAGAACTGTTGTCAGGAAATAGTAAACCTACAAAATACTCAGGAAATGGTACCTAGTAGCCTGTAAGAATGAGAGGAAAGAGAACATCTGAAACAAGCACAAGGTGGATTTTAGAAAACATATCATATCCCACATATACAATGATGGCTATAATCATGGAAAAGTTAAACTGTCTTCAGTATGTGCTACTGAAGCAAATCACACCCATTAAATATATAAAAAAATTTAAGTTTCTGTTACTCAAAACATTCTTTATATGGGATCCTGACAGTGTTGACTAAACCAGGTTAGATGTAATAGCTTTGTGAGCAAGAAGCATCCTACTTTTCCAAGACGTATACAGCAATTTTTATGAATTACTCTTATGTGACTTGCTGACACTATAATACTCACTAAGAAAAGGTAGCGTTCTTGTGCTGATGTGTTCCGAGCGGCTAGTTTGAGGATCTGTCCTTCTTTTATTAATTCGTTTGAGGGATTTACAATGTCTTCTTCTTCTCCCAACATTTCATAAATCTCTAGGAGTTTCTTTAGGTTCTCCTAGGAAATTAAAACAAAACACAGCAAGATCAAATACAAGGAGGTTTCAACTTAGTGGCTTTAATAATACTATGATCTCAACTAACATCTAAATAATTCAGAAGGGATTGGGACTAAGCATACAATTTGGAACAAAATGCATCAGTTATCAGCAAGGTGAAACCTAAGTGAAGAGGGGAGAGATTATTCCAAATAATGTTAAACATTCTATAAACATTCATTTTTGTTCACCTATATCAATTCAATTTGGTTCAAACCTACAGATAGTATTAGGCTATATTATTGACAATTGTCTAACCAGAAGGTTCCTGTCTCCTCTGAAAACCACTTACCATTTTTCTTATTGCACTATTAGAATGGCTTGCTGCTGTAGATATAATTTCAAGTGATTCTAAATGAGAAAAAAAGAAAAGTAAATATATATGCCTTGTCCTTCCTGTACTACTAGATAGCTGAATAACTTATACACTAAAATAAGAAGAAATCTGAGACCAAAGACACCATAAAAGTACTGGCAATTTCCATGTAAAACTGGATACTTTCAAACGTTCACCTGTAAGCAGATTACTTAGAATGTGAAGGATATTTCTTTATAAAGAGTCATATACAATGATTAGCTCACAGATATATTTAATCCATAAGGGGCCTGCAAAATTAACAAGCCCTTACAGTATACACTGACTTGATACAAGGTACTTTGCCAGGTGCTTGTGTGTGTGTGTGTGTGTGTGTGTGAATATATATCAATGAATTCTTGCACAGCCTTGAATGGTAAGTATGTTAGCTCCATTTGGCAAATGAAAGAAATGAGGAAATGATGTGACTTGGCTAAGGTCACATGGCTATTATATCATAGTGTCAAATTTGAACCTAGGTCTTCTGAGTCAAAGCTCTCTATTTCAGCACTAGTAAACTGATGAGTAAATGAACCACTAAGCATAACCAATTTTGAGAAAATGCACTCTCAGTTCTAACCTGGGTCAGGTGAAAGGGAATCTTCTGTGCCAGTACTGGAGGGTTTGGTTGCTGGGGCAGGCGGTAGTGAGAGATGGGAATGGGACCTCTTTGGTATGGACATCTCAGGAGCTCCAGAGCTTGCTGGTGAAGAGCTGTGGAAGCCAAGGCCTCCCGCAGGATCAGCCCCAGGCAATACCTATCGATCCTAAATCATGTCCTGTTTTCTTCCTTTCTTTTCTATCTTGTGAATACCGGCCTGCTTAATTCTGTTACGTCAACGCCATCACTTCTGATCTACATTTTCTGTCTTCTTTGCACTGCTGAAAAGAATGCACTTTTGTCGCTTTCCCCTCTACTTTGAGATCTCTAAAAGCCCTCTGTGATTTCCTTGGAATTCTAGTGTAAGTAGCAGTGAGAAACCAAGAAGAGTTACAAAATGCTCTACTATGTCACCACCTTTCTCATTCTGACATAAGCATCTTAGGGGAAGTCAAGTCTTTGAGTATAGAAGAAACTGAATTTTTATTTATATTTTAGAGAACTATCCTGATGTGGGCAATTCTGTCTATTTAATACTGGATCCAGGATAGAGGGAGACAAAATAAGATGGGCTGGGACTACTGCTCAAGAGAACAGCTCAAGGAAGAGAAGCAGTAATTCTACCTCTAATTCCACCAGTAATTCTGCCACTAAAATCAAAACAAAACAAACAAAAAACATTCAGATGGGTGGAGAGTGGGGATGGGGCAGAGTTCCTGGGAGGTGGTGGGTTGGGGGAAGATGGCAAATCAGGTTCATTCTAAATTGTAGAAGAAAAGAGGGGAGAAGGGAAGTTTCTGTAGTCACCAAGTCACCTGGATGGTGGGTGAAACATGTCACAGACAGCATGTGTTCAAGAAAAGACTCAGGCGGTAAGACCAAAGATGATGTTTAGTGTTCCTCATCTGTCACCAAGTTTCACTTATAATAGGAGACAATAAGTTATAAAAGTAGCATTGTTTTAAGACTGTGCACTAGTACTGTTAGTACTTGTTGAATATCAAGCCATTTCTATTTCTTAAATTTACATTTATCCTTTTATAGTTAACTGATTTTTAAAAGTGCATGAGAAAGCTAAAGTATTATAGAAACTGTAAGCCTTGAAAAAGCCTTTCATTATAATCTAATAAAAAATCAAAAGACAACTAACAGAACTGGAATGAAGTTTTCTTGAGGAAATGTTATTGGAAAGTAAAATGCACCATTTCCTTTTATGCATTATGGTAGGTGAAGCCAACTTGCTTAGGTTATTTTTACTAATAAATGTCATCTTAGCTTTCTTGATATGGAACAACCTAATTAAACAGTGGCACTTATAATTCTGAATGGTTGTGTTCTTCCTCTGAGAAAGTAATTGTATGGTGCTGTTACAAATGTCTCCAAGATTACAGTTTTATATTTCGGTTAGTGATTAACATGAAACTAGCATCAGAAATGTGATTTGCATTGCTCTAAACTTATGATCATGGCTCAAAAGTGACTTGCCTAATTAAGGCATTGATAACGATTTCCAGTGAGATTATTTTCTGATAGCAATATTTGACTAAAGTAGATATGAGACACATCTCACTTTGGAACCATAGGGCTGCTTTGGCCACTTGATTATCCAATAATGGGGAAAAGAAAAAAAAAAGCATTTACTCTTAGCATCATTCCAGTCCAGGGAATCAGATGGCAGTTTCCTTAGGTAGTCTTTAAGGAGCATCTCATACCGGGGTATCCGCTGAACAGGTTCCAGCATGTGATGCTGCAAAGTTAAGCTCCCACAGATCTTTTGTTTCTGTAATGAGAAAGGTTTTTTTAAAATAAATAAATAAATAAAAATTAGTTTGACCAGTCTAAAAACCCACTGTAATACAGAACTTTCGTCAAGCATGGTATTTTCCTATAAAGTATGGCTATGCATCACCTGCATTAGATATATCTGAGGTGCTTTTAAAAATGCAGATTTCTGAACCCCACCCCAATCTAAGAAATCACAACTTTTGGGGAAAAAGATTGAGAATATTCATTTAAAAATACCCCATATTCTTATAATTTTAAAGTTTGAGGACCACTAATCTAGTGTAAGAACAGAAAGAAAAAAAAAATCAAGAAGAATTTTAAGCAAGAAAATTCCAGATTGCTGACAACCACATCATTAGTCACTACAAGGGTTTGTGAAGTCATATTATTAAATCATTCTACAGAGATATTCAAAAGATGCACGTGTTTAATGAGGTTCACTAAGCACAACTGTATTAAATGACTTTGGACTCAGCAGAAATTATTTCTTAATAAGGTTATCATAAATGTCATTTCCTTTGAACTTTAAAAAGACTCCACAAGGAAGAATGACAAGTTCTGCCATCTTGTTATTGATCAGAAAATTTTAATTTTTCATTAGGTCACAGCATTCTTTTTCATTAGAAACCAAACTCTATAAACAGATCTCTATTTCTCAGGGCAAAATTAAGGCTGTATTACTCGCTTTCAATAAGCTGTTAACATAAGAAAGGGAAAAATAAGATGTATTCCTGTTCATATTAAACAAAGCAGAAATCCCATTAAAATATTTACTGAACTCGTACCATGATCAAGGCACTACAGGGTATAAAAGTTGTATTAACACGTAGTTTTTGCATTCAGAGCAAACAAGTAACTAAAGGAGCATTTAACACAACCTCTGCTAAGTGCAGGCTTTGGTAGGAAGGGAAGAGAAGACGACTAGGGTGTGAGTGCAGGGAGAAGGACCTGGGAGCATAGGCCCAAGGCAGTGAGGCATGAAACAAGTTCACCAAAAGGAAACACTTGGGATTTTGTGGTAACGAAGCTAAACACAGGGAAATAGGGTGAGGAAGAAAAGGTAATACGAGATAATAACACCAAGGACCTTCAGAGCAAAGTCAAGTTCAGATTTGCTTCATCGAATTCAGCTTTTTGTGCAAGGAAGTGATGTTATTAGATTTGAGCTCTATTAAGATTAACCTAATGCAGAGTGGCTGCAGGGGGATGTGGAGAAACAAGTGTTGTAGACCAGGAAAAAAGTAATAAGGCCTGAAATTGTCACAGAAGCTGAGGGAATAACAGCTTCCCTTAGCAAAGTATAAGATGTTAATTGTACAGGTTTAATGATCTCATTTGATTTTTCCTGACAAACCAATTATATATATACAGGAAAATATATCCAGGAAGAAACTGTGGCTCAGAGAAATTAGGAGAGTGTTCTAAGGTCAAGCGACCGAAAGTGGCAGATGAGGATTCTAAAACACAGGTTAGTTGACTGTCAATCTACCACTCTTCTCACAGCCCATGTAACTTCCTTATAACATGGAGAAGACACACATTGCAGAATTTGATACGACATGCAAGACTGTGCAACAAGCACTATGGTAAGCATCTTGAATACATTATCTCACAGGCAAATGACTACATACTGAGAATGAGGAGACGTGACAAATCAAAGATAAAGCCAAGTTGCCAAGCTCTGGTAAAGAGAGAATAATGCAGTCATCTAATAAATCCAATCACATATCAGAATTATCTACCCTGTACAATGTACAAAAAGTCAGATGGAAAAAATGCTTATGAGCTAAAGACAGGAACAGAACATGCTGACTTGTTTTGACAACAAGATGCTCATACATAAGTGTGTAAACAGCACTCAGCCATTTGTTACTGGAGTCTTGGGGTAGAGGACTAGATCAGAAAAACCAACCACAGAGGCATCTGTCTGGCATGACGTAGAAATATGATATCACTGAGGGTGTAAAGAGAAAGAAGATTGCAGAGGGCAAGGCTTGTGTTCTGCCCACCTTTCAGTATTAGCAAAAAGGGCTTGAGAAAGAATCAAAGGAGGAGGCAGTGTTGAGAAAGGCATAATAGGGCTTAATCATGAAAGAAAAGGGATGTTGAAAAAAGGAGCAGAGGGGAAGATGCAGGACACCTACCGATGGCTCAGTAAGGAGACTGATAAATTCTCCCTATTAAAAGCAACTATAAAGCTGGATAAAACTGACAAAACAACCATTTCAGCATTTAAAAAAGTGATCGAAGGTATATAGCAGTCTGAAAGTGTTTATGCTTTAAGAACTGTTGAAGTTTGAGTAAGAACACGACATCTGTCGTTCTAGCCTGGGGCTGCTTCTATCGCTCCCCCAGCTCAGTCCATATGATGGTTCTGCCAGCGAAGCACAGGCTGTAAGGACTGGCAGCTTCTTTGCTGAGGCTGAGAAGGGCTCACTCAATTTTGAATAAAGGACGATGCATACACCCAGCAACAACATTATTAGAAGTGAAGATCTCTAAGGTGGATGAGTAGAGAGAGCCAATAGCTCTAACTGCCTGAAGTTGTGGTTGGGTGTTGGGATAGTCATTTTCTTAGCTAGGGCTGTATGAATGACCAGCACAGACAGCGCCCAAGCCAGCACACCCTCCTGGCTGCCCTAAGGCTGCGTACATGTGGATAGAAGATGTCAAAGGGCCCAGTGGACTTGAAAATGGTGTGGTCTTTAGATGTGTTTTTGTACCCACAGGCCAGTCCATCAGCAGAGGACAGAAGCTGGCTCTAGGTAGGTGAACACCTCATGCAATAATAATTACCCCTAACCTACACAGACATATATGCACAACCACTAGAAAGCACAAGAATATTCAACAAAAAACTGAGTGGAGGTATCAGCAACTACACATCAGAGAGAGATTTTACAGATTTAGTCTAAGGAAGTTACTAAACAAAGAAACACACAAAAGTAATCACAACCACTTTCAGTGGGGCAAATTAGAAACCAGAGTTGCTACAATAGGTTATCTAAAAGGTCCAATATTCAGCAAAAATTATGAGATATTCAAAGACATAGTAAAGTATGACCTATAATGAAAAAAAGTCAGTCAATAGAAATTGTCTCTGAGTGTCCCAAGATGTTGGATATGGATGACAAAGGTTTTAATTGCTATTATAAATGTTTTCCAAAAAATGAAGTAATGTTCGATGAATTCAAGAAAAATATGACAACAATGAATACACAAGTAGCAATTTTTAAGGAGGAGATAGACACAATAAAAAAGAAAGGAAATTCTGGAGTTGAAAAGTATAACAACTAAAATTAAAATTCACTACATGGGCTCAACAGCTTGTTTTTTTTTTTTTTTTTGCAGCTGGCATGTACAGGGACTGAACCCTGGATCTTGTTTTTTCAGCACCATGCTCTAACCAACTGACCTAACTAGCCAGCCCATCAACAACAGATTTGAGATGACAAAGAATCAGGAAATTTGAAGAAAGGTTAATAGAAATTATACAATCTGAAGGTCAGAGAGAAGACTGAATAAAAATGAAGAGTTTCAGAAACTTGTGGGATAACATCAAGAATACCAACATTTGTGTAAAGGAAGTCACACACACGGTATTGTTGAATTTAAAATATATAAAAATGTAATGTACACATGACACTAAAAGCACAGAGCATGGAGGAGGGAATAGATCTGTATCGGAGCAAAGTGTCTATATTTTACTAGAATTAAGGTTAGTATATTCTGAAGTAGACTATGATAAGTTAAGATGCATATTGTAATCCCAAGAGCAACCACTAGGAAAATAACTCAAAAATAGTTTAAAACTTAGAGGAATTAAAATGGTAAAATAAAAAATATTTATATAACACAAAAGAAGGCAGTGAACAGGCAACAGAATCCTCAGCCCAAGAATCTTAGGGTGAGCCAAAAAATTTAATATTTAAACTGCAAAGAATAAATTATTAACAATTTTGACTAGAGAATCAAATTGAAATTACTATATTATTAAAATGTATTATCCAGGTTTGGTGAAACAGGAGAAAATCAGGATACTGATATAAAGAGACAAAGAAAAAGGAAAATGGTATTTCTAAAATCTCAGGGTTTATCGTAGTCATTCTTTATATCCATTTATAATCTTCCCAACACTTCAACCTCTGAAAGAATGCAGGAGAGGCTCAGACCTGAAGGGGAACTAACTCACTTTGTAAATTCATGTAGACCCTAATACAGCCAGCCTCTGCTGGTCTCAAAACCAAAAGGGGAATTTACTGCTTAGTATGTAGCATGTGTTTCGTAAGTATTTAAACTGTGCAGAGATGATCTCTGTGTAATTCAGAGTAGAATGAATTTTGGCTGGGTATTTCAGGCAAATCTCTAGATCTCAGTTTTGGATCTAGAAGATCACAGGATTTGTATGAAAAAATTAATTCATAGCCTTCAACAAAACAGTCCTATTACCTGAATTTCTTCGACCACTGATTTGAACTGGGGAATTCGTTCTGTCATGTTTTTAACCAATTCCATTGCATTATCAAATCCTTTTACATATTCTCCATACATCTTAAGGAATGGCGCCAATTTCTGAAGGATGTCTCCGATCCTGGGGGTAGTTTCCCTGTATCAAATATAGAAACAGGTCATTAAGATTTCTTACAGAGGGCCGAGCCTGTGGCGCACTCGGGAGAGTGTGGCACTGGGAGCGCAGCAGCACTCCCGCCACAGGTTCGGATCCTATATAGGGATGACCGGTGCGCTCACAGCACTCACTGGCTGAGTGCGGTGCGGCCGGTCTCAAAAGGACAAAAAAAAGAAAAAAAAAAAAAAGATTTCTTACAGAATGAGTGAATTAACAGGATTCCAGATGAAGTAATCACTTTCTACAAACACCCTGTGCTTTAGCAGATCTACTTTGCTGTGAGACTGCTAGAGAATGAAGAAGCACCTTTTTAAAGGGAGCTTAGGAATGGCGCAGTAAAGAGAGAGGCAGAGGCTATCGAATTCTTGAAGCTCCAGATTACGACCCCTGATACCTTGTCTCTACTAGTCAAAAATAGTTTGAAAAGCAGAGATGAAATTCTGGTCAGCTAAAGGTGAAAACGTACCACAACTTCTATCAGCGGTCTTTAATACAAGAAATTTAGCACAAATGTCTAGCTATAGTTGTGTATGCGATTTCTATTTCAACTTAAAAGCTGAAAAGCACAGCATCTTGTATGACTGCCTTAGACGTATCATTTGCTATGTGCGCCTCTTACCATTCTTGCATTCGTTTCTCCAGCTCTGGCAATAGGAATTTACTGTGGAAGGCATTTATGGATGAAATATTAGAAAAGATTTTATTCACTGTCTCTGCTGGAAAAGAACCTCGGTTTGCTTCTTCTAGAAGTTTGCAATAAAATACCTGAGTAAGAGAATAAAGCAAACATTACTTGAAATGTATTGGTTAACCACCTAGCATTGTGCTAGGCACATAGTGAGCTCTTAGTTACTTTTTGTTGAATAAATGGAAAAGTTCATGGTTCAAGAAATCAATCGTCATTTGAAATGTAGGAGTGACTATATACTTTAATCTAGAAGAAACACATATTAGAACACTTTGATTGTAACCTAAGCTATGTCCCTATCTGTGGGACATTAAGGCAAATATTTTACCTTTTCTGTGCCAGAGAATTTCCAGTTGTGGTTAATAGGATTTACCCTTCCTACCCACAGCTAGAGTTAAGAAGTGTGAAAACAATATATATACACAAAATAACTGTGGTACTTTTCAATTCTCTTTACGTTTTGAATAACTTCTGTGGCACTTATTACATATTGCCTTTATTGTAGTTTGTTGACATAAATCTCACTTCTCCTATTAAAATAGCTTCCCTTGTGAAGGGGGGACATTCTGATTTAGTTCTCACAATAGAATATGTGCTTAATAACTATCCAAATGAGTGAACAAAATAGTTTAGTTCTCAGATGTTTACTTGCTCTTTAGTAATAATGAACGATAACTTGAAACACTGATATGTGCAGAAAATCTTCTCCCATAGACAAGGACAGGTATCTTGAAGACAATTAAAAAACAATTTGCAGTCTTTGCTATACTCCTCTAGGGCTACTATACCTCTTAATTGCCATTTTGTTAAATGTGGGCAGAAGGAGGTCTGTTCCTTCAAAATGTCCAGATGGTTGTTAATTCTCTAAATTCACCTCCACTGCATTTTCTTGGGAGGTAAAGAGAACACAAAATTATATCCTTAGAGACTCCAGTAGATAGGATACTGTAGTAATTAAGGCTTTAAAATTCTAAAAGGTCAGCAACAGTAGCTGACAAGTTAATTTTCCTTAAAAAAGACAAACATACAATTTGATAAGAGGAAAAGACATCTCCACTATAGGAATACCTAAAATTTTCAGGTATATTATTCCCATGAGGAAGATAAGTTGTTTCAATGATATAAACTCCACATGAATTGATTTGGCATATGATGAATTTCTTTGAAAAATGAGTATTTGAGCCACTAAATCATTATTACAAAGAACACAAGCCTTAAACTGGCTCCTCAAGGCTCACCCTACAAGGTATGCAGTTCACTCTTGGAACCAATGATAAGTAGGTGTGCCTAGGACTGTCTGTTTCCATGAAATTCCCAGTTTTTCAGTGGTAGAAGTGGGATAATTCTTACAACTAATGCTCAAATATGACAGCTTTCTCTTTTGACAAGAGGAGTCTGTATTAACAGACAATCTACCAATTGTCCTGTTCTTTATTGCTGAAACAGAATTAAGACACCTTAGTTTTCAACAGTTATTTTTATGGTGCATTCTAACCTTTCCGAATGTATACTTGAAATGATACAAGACTCTACCATTATGAAAGTACGAAATGTGATAAAGTAGATTTACATAGTCAACAAATATTAACTGGGCAACTTTATGTCAGGTATTTAGATTATAATAGTAACATGGCCCCCAGGATCACAATAAATAATTGAGAAGCAGACTAGTGTTTAAGGTTACACGATACTGATAAAGGTATTTTGTGACTCGTACAGAAAGAAACCTCTACTCTTTACAAATTACAAAATGTTTATACCTAGTGAATTCACTAATGAAGCTGAAAGTGACAGAGATTTCCTTCAGCAAGTGGCTTTCACTAGCCAAAAACAGTCAGGCCCTTTGGAGTTTCTAAAACACTTTAATAACTAGGTTAAAATGACGGACAATGCAAAACATAAAATAATTCTGAAAGTGAAAATATTACCTGATCTAAGAGGTCAAGTCGGTTGACATAAGCTCTTTCTGTAAGCAAAAGTTCGTTGGCTATTTTGTGAAGTTTTTGCTCATTAGTCTCCTAAAAACAGAACAGAAAATCACACATTAGGAAAGAAATATTGGACAATATTTCTCAAGTAATAAACACTTCATCAAACGGTTTTATCAAAACCCATTTCTCAAGCTTCTCAGGAACCCAATCCCTTTCAAGGAACATCCAACTGGAAATGAACAAAATTAGAAACGAGCAGTCTGCTAGATGCAAACTACAGCTGCCTCGTTGACCTCCGCAGCAGTTAACAATGTCATCCGCATTTTCCTAGAAACATCTTTTCAGTCCCCAGCACTATCCTCTTACTTTCCACATTTTCCCTGCCTCTCTCAGGCTACTCTTTGGAAATGATTTCATCACTCTGTCAGACGTCTTGCCTAATTATTAGCTCTATGCACATAACTTTTTTCCTTTTAAGAAAATATTTCATTACGAAAAATTTCAATCACATATAGGAGTAGAGAAAATAGTGAGATGAACCCCCAAGTGTCCACCATGGAGATTCAACAAACAACTATCAATTCACTGTTAATCTTGTTGCATCTATCCCCCCCACCCACCTCTTTCCTCCCATATTATTTTAAATTAAATCCCACTTTATTATTTCCTCTATATCTCTTTATTTACCCTATAAATATATTTGTATGACCTTGCTAGCATACAACTTTTCTGTGTGTTAGCTGCTCTATCTCCTGTGTTTACTATAATGCTTCAATAAAAACATTGGTATTTCATAAATATTGCACAATAAATGAATTGAATAAATGAGTAGCAGGCTCACATACATAACTACCGTTGGATATTTATTACTACTTTCACATGCTGTCAGCATAAGACCAAACTTATCTCTTTCAGAAAACCTCTACCCTACCACCAACCCCGTACTTTCCCATCCTAGTAATAGTACCATCCCTTTCCAGTTACCTGGCTTTGGAACATTGAACTGCTTTAAAATTAGTTCCCTCCCATGAAATCCAGACAGCTGCCAAGTCCTATGCACGATATTATGTCTTTAGCATTTATCTTTTTTTTTTTTTTTCCCGACTGGTAAGGGGATCGCAACCCTCAGCACAGTGTGGTCTGCACCACGCCCAGCCAGTGAGCGCACCGGCCATCCCTACATAGGATCCGAACCCGCGGCCTCGGCGCTACCAGCGCCACACTCTCCTGAGTTAGCCACGGGGCTGGCCCAGCATTTATCTTTTAAGTTCTCATCACTGCCACCCTGTTTTGCTCAAATTATCTTGAGCCCAGGCCAATCAACAGTTTCTAAATGATCTGATTCCAGTATTTCTTGGCTCTGATTCACCTTGCATATTGCTAAATGTGGAATCTTTCTAAAACTTTGCTTTGCACATATAACCAAACTCCCCATAGAAAGAAAAGCCTTCAGTAGTCCTCCTCTCACTGACAGGATCAAATCCAGACTCTATGTACCATTAGGGGTAGTTCAAACCTCTACCCGCTCAAACTCTTTCCCGTTGTATCTTCATGGGCACCCTTCCCTCCAAACGCACCAATCTAACACTTTGATCATTATCCAAGCATGTCCCTGGCCACCCCCAAACCTTTCTTCTCCCCATCTTCCCTGCCTGGCATATGTTCTTCCTGTCTCTCTCTAGGTGTCTCTAACACTTACTTTGCTTTGGATGGCCTGCTAAATTTCCATTCCTTGTCCATGGAGCCTTCTTGAACTATTTAAAGCCCTTGGGCTTGGTCCAATTAGAATGCAGTTTATATTTCACATGTAAATCTTTACATTGAGAAAGTTCTACCTAGTACTTTGCTGAAATACACATTCACTGTAAGAGATTATAAAGTATAATAAGGGTTTAGGAAAAACACTTGTAGCAAAGTATGCCAGAGTATATTTTAATCCAGCATTGAATTTGTGTATAAATGCAACATTTTAAACTGTATGTAAAATGCTATTAAGTTCCAAGAATGCTACATTGTGTTCAACACACGTGAGATCAACTTTATGCTTTACATGCAATATCCGTGCTAAAAGTGGAAAGTTAACGTATTGCCCTTTAGAACTGGAATGAGGTATTTTTATGTGAAGTCTAAGTGAAGTAATATAGTAGTGGTTAAATAATTTGTGGTTTCAGAAATAGTGAAATAAGAAGTATGTAGTCATCATATTCCACGATTAGTCAAGGTTTTGATTGAACTTAATAAATTCAGGGTAAAGTACTGGCTCTGCTGGTTGCCTGCCCAGCATCCTTTCCCTCCAGTGGCCCCATTTCTTAACAGCATCAGATTTGGTTAATGCAAATACCTCACTACTATGCAGCCATTTCCTTTGGGAAAACTGACCTCATTCCCCATATAAAGGGGGGACTTGAATGGTTTAAGAATCAGAGAACACAATGACTGGTTCAAGCCAATGAGACAAGAGGAAACACATGCTGAGAACTTTGTCAGTAGGAGGCTCCCTACTCTCCAGAGAGAGCCACAGGAAATGAGCTCTCTCTTTGGGGCTCCACATGAATGAGGGTACAGGTAGGCTTAAGTGCTATGAGCAGCCATCCCATAACCACAGGGATGAAGACAATAAACTTCGTTATTGTTTATGCCAAGCTGAGTGTTACTGGTGGACACAAGCATCCTGATTAATACAGAAAACTTAAATACTATGATACATATGCAGTATCTTCCATGAAACTGAAAAACTTCCACATAATTTTTAAGCAATTACAACTTACAGAGGGAAAAGAGATAAAAGTTAAATATGTAATGAAATAAAAATGTGACTGTTGAACCTGTAATAAGTGAACACAAATGCATAGTGAATATTTAAACCTATCAACATTTCAGAAGAAAAAGAACTTTGCTATCCTTTATACTCACAAGAAATACTCCCCACAACACTCTAAACCCGTAGTTTGTTTTTTTAAAGCCAGAGCTATTGAGGCAGAACTTGCAAACAGTAAAAGGAATTTTGACAGATGCATATGATCATGTAATCACTACCACAATCAAGATATAGAATGTTCCTATCATGCCTAAATTTTTCCTGGGCCCCTTTGTTAGTCAAACCCCTCTCCACTCCCAGGATCCCACCACCAGCTCCTGGTAGCCCTTTATCTGTCCTTTTCCAGAATGTTGTGTAAATGGAATCACACTGTATGTGCCTTTTGAGTCTTGCTCTGTCACTTCGCAAAATGCATCTGAGATACATCCATGTTGTTATTAATATCAGTAGTTTGTTCTTTTCAAGCCCTTAGTTTTATTCCAACAGTGGTAATTTATCTAATTTACTCACTCTCACTCTTTTATATTTTCTGATTCTAGAATTCTTTATAGAAAGCAACCCAGAACTTGTGCCATGATAAAATAATACATCTTTCACAAGTCAGAGAATATGTTAACCAACAAGTCATACCGTCTATTATTGCTACACAATGAAGTCACCTCTGAGGTCTTCCACAATCGTACACAATCTTTTGCTGACTACAAAGCATACTTTAGCTGAACTTGGCAAATTGTGGATATTCTGGTAATATTTTACTAAATCCAAGGGGAATGCCAGCAGTTATTAGCAAAAGCTATGCTCCTTCCACACAGATGGTCTTCTACCCTTCAGGTCCCTGACCTTGCCAAAGCCAACACAAAGATAAGCAAAAGTAAGCTTGCTGACATACAGCTTAATCACTCACTTAGATAGAGGTTTGCAAAAAAGTTACTAGGGATTCTGTAGTGAAGATGAGGAAACCATGGACTCAACGAGCCTGGCTTTAGGTTAATCACAACAATAATATCACCATAATAAGAACAGCTAACACTTATTCACTGATTGTTTGTTACGTGCCAGATACTGTCACAGGTACTTTACATAAATTGACTAATCCTTACAACAATTCTATAAAATAGGTACCATTATTATTCCTATTTTACAGGCAGCACATGCATAAACACGCATGTGCAAACACACACAAAACAACAAAAAATCCTGAGGCTCAAAGAGGCCAGATAATTTACTCGAGGTCACTTAGTTAGGTTACTGTATCAGATTCCAATCATATAAAAGAGTACATGAATCAAGTCACTATACAGTACATAATTTGGCTTTCACTCTCACCCTTCTTTGCAACAAAAAATAAGACTGTGCCTATAAGCAGACAGACAAAATAAAAAAATATCTGTTTACAAAATCTGCCTAAAAATGGAAATGTGGTACCTACTATAGATTTTAATATTTTTTTCCAACAAATTCTATTTAAAGCAGACTTCTCAGATGTACAAAATGCAGTCATTGTGATGTAATAATAATAATGGCTTCCAACTTTAAAAATTACTTATTTACTGGAATTCATCTTTGAGTACATTTAAGGAGAAATATATAATCTGTCTGCATGCATGAGACTCTAATATTCTATTAGACTTATGCATAAATAATGGATAAAGTAGGTTTAAAATTGCTGGTACACTGGGGTTCTCACCTAATATATTTTTTTAAATAGGAAAGTTAAATAGGTAAATTCTGTTTCTTAATATTTGCCACTTCAAAATTATATAACTCTTACTTTGTGCTTGTCACTTTAGTCATTTATTCTTGTGATTCTTTGGGAAGCAGTAATTGTTACAAGATATTGATTTAATAAATAATCCCATTTTCTTCTACCAGAGTCTGATAAATAGGCTTAACTTTTCAAGATAATTTATAAATACTTGTAAATTATAACTTTTAGTAAATACTGTTAAATTGAAAAAGATACACTCCTAAAGTATACAATTAATTTTTCTCTTCCTGCTTAATGTACTCCCTGGGCTATTACTGTTGTCTTCACACCTCCAGTGCCCTTTGGGAGAGATCTGTTCTTTTCTCCCCAGGATTAGGTTCAGCCTGTTGTGAGTCGCTGTACCCGCTGGCTCATGAATGAACTGCAGTATCAGTTCTGCCTCCTCATTTGCAGATATCACCAGCTCCTGCAGCTCTTTTCAGACCTTTTAGCATGACTCTCCCATATGGCAGGAGGCAGGACAAAGATCCCCCACTGCAGCTCACAGAGTTCATTAACTGG